TGTTTTTCTACGTTTATTATACGTTTTTTAAACATATTATTTCCGTATACTTTCCTTATACATATTATTTATAGGGATATTAAAATATACTTTTTGTATTATGTAAATTGGTATTATTTTAATAATTTAAAGTATTATTATCTAATACATACTTTTTTATATTATATAAATCAGTGATATTATTAATAAATTAAAGTATTACTTTCGGTTATATATGAAAATTAAACTTTTTGTATTATACAAATTAGTGATATTATTGATAAATTAAAGTATTGTTATAAATTAATAATATTATATATTAAAAATATGCTTTTTATAAATATATAAATAAGACTCAAGTATCAATAGAAATCAGTAAAATATTTTTTCTTTTTCTGAATTTTTTTAACAAATATAACAAGATCAAAAAGAAACTGTTTTTATAAAAATAATACAAAAGATCATAATATTATTTATAAAATTACAAATATGTCAAGATCAAAGAAATCTGATAATAAAAGTTTCGCAAAAGATTGTATTACTTCTAAAACTAGGTATTTAGTTAAATACAAATGTATTTTACATTGCTATAAAAGTAAATTAGTTGATTCTAGAAAATTTAAGAAACATCAGCAAGAATTAGAAAGGTTTTATGCTAATACTTCTGAATCTTAACATTCTACTTGATCAAGAAGTATTAAATCAATATATATTATTATTAACTTTGAAAAAAAAATAAAAATCAAATCAGTTGATTAATATCAAAATTTACTCAATGATCATTTTAGTGATGATCTAATTCCTATTGATAAGGAACCGATTAATGTATTAAAGAAACAAAAATAATATAATAAATTTTGTGATCTTATTTATGATAAATCAGAATCAATTCTAATCAAAAAAGAAGAAGAAGTTAATGATATATTTACAACAAAAAATAATCACAGATTTAATGATAATGATCATAGGTTAAGTGAAAATAATATTCTGTTTGAGTAATTTACTGCTTCCAACTTTGATGATCTTAATGAATCAGATCATAAATATCCTAGCACAAATGTTAATTTTAATGATCTGTGAATACTATTATAGATATTCAAGTTTTAAGCAAGATTTCACTTTTCTGGTGTTACTATTGATTTACTTATTAAGTTTTTTAATATAGTTTTATTAGTTTTATTAGATGCTAATCAAATATATTTTAATGACTTTTCTACAAGTTCATATATAGCAAAAAAAATGATAAAAATTAATAAATAAGCAAAAATATATGTAATATATTCAGATTATAAAACATTATATAAAATTTTAGAAATTTTACAATAAAATGTGAATAATAAGTCAATTAATAGGTATAATAGGTTTAAATACATCTATGTAGAATTTTCAAATCATCTGAGAAAAAGTCAGAGAAATTTTTGTGAAATAGAAATAATAAAACAAATATCAATAATTAAAGATTACTTTAGAAAATCAAAGATAATTTTTTCCTTGCTATCTTTGAAGGCTCAATTGATTACAATGTATCAGTGATCAGAATTTGAATCTCTTTTGAAAAATAGACAAATTAGGATAATATTGAATTGATAACTGATATTTATGATGGAGAAATTTGAAAAAATTTCTATTATGACTTAATACACCTGATTCTTCATATTTTTTTACATCAGAAACTGATTCACAGTTAGGAATTATGATAAATCTCAATTATTTGAGTCATCAGCATATAATAATAATATCATATATAATATCATATATAACCTTTCACATAAAGTTCAATTTAAAAAGTAAATATATTAATACTTGGACTACTACCAGATACTAAAGAGATAAAAGTACATTAGATAAATCACTATCTTTCTTCAATAATGAATGAATAATTAAAATTATAAAATAGATATATTATACCAATCCCTACCAAATTTTTAAATAGAAAAAGAATTAGATTAGCTATCATTTGCTATTTAAATAATATTCTAGTTGCTAGAAAATTGTGCAGTCATATATCAGCATTAACTGAATATTATTGATGTTACAAATGAGCAAATACAGAAGGTAAAAAACTAAAAGTTGGTGGATTTGAAGGTTAATTGGTTTCAAGAATGAGACCTTTAAAAACATCTCAAAAAAGCTGAAAAATAGTAACAACGCAAAATAAAAGATGAAAGAAAGTAGCATATTTTTAATACACATATACGTTGGTTAGAAATGTTAAGGCTGCCTTATTTTAATCTGATTCAATATCTTATTATCAATCTGATGCATTGCTATTTTCTTGATATTGCCTATTGAATAGTAAAAATATTATAGTTTAATAAAATCAATCTTATATTATTGGAAGAACAAATAAAAATAATCAATCTACCAGCCAATTTGGATTAGATCTCAAATAAAATTTCAACTGGAGAAGGAATTTCTGACTTTATAGCTAATTAATAAAAGACTTTTATTTTAATATACATGATTCTATTATTATAGGATCTTTTGGATTTACCAGATAAAGAAATTTTAGTTAATTTTGTTAAAGCTTATTATTTACTTGTATATCAAATAATTGACAACATTTTATTAATTGAAGCTTATGTACAATTGTTATATGTAGAACATTTAATTAAAGAAAACTATTGATCAGAATTTATAATATTAAATATACCTTTTACTTTATATTACTAAATGCTATCATGATTATAGTTCTTTGTATTCATTCTGGTATTATTTATTTGAAAGAATGAATGAAATTTTAGGTGAAATTTTATATCGATTTTTATTAAATTATTAAATAATTAAGTATATAATTAATATTTATTTAATTTTTTTTATAGAATTCCTTTCGAATAGTAAGCGATAAATCAAATTTGAACTTTTATGCATCATTATGCAAACCCATAAATTAAACAAATTAATTTCTAATTAAATAGATTGCTCAAAACTGAAATAAGCTCTTGAATTTGTAAAGTCTCATCTGATAGCTAGAAGTTTAGCATCATATAATGAATTAGATTTTATAAAATCATACAAATCTTTCATTATCTTAATAAAATTATTATTGGTAATGAACTAAAGATGGTGCAGCAATTAATTTCAAATTTACAACTTATTATAACATAAGCTAAAATTAGTTGCAATATATGTTGCAATAATATAAGTTGTAACATATATAAATTAAACCTAATTGTGACATATATTGTAATTAAAGATGAATATCATAATTAAGAAATTGCAACTCGGTAAATTGCAACTTCTTATAAATTTATTTTAATATAAAAATTCATAAAATGTTGCAATTCAAAGTGTTGCAATTTAAGTTGCAATTAGTTAAAATTTTTAAAAATAATTATGGGAACCATCTTTAATTGTAATATTAAAAGTTATAACATATTAATTACAGTTTTCATTTTTATAATAAGCTATTTTTAGAATAAATACTTTCTCCAAAAAATGAATGCATATCTTTTACCAGATAAAATTTATGAATTATTAGTTGAATATTATAATAATGCATATAATAGAAAATTTGTAACAACAGTAGATGCAGTTTCTGAAACATCAACAGAAAATCTTACTATCATTTTGCCATATATTAATCAATATAACCATATTAGAATTGAATCTAAAATCTTTGAAGCAATGATTGCATCCTGATATATGAGAAATTTACATATATTTATACAAGCGATGAAATGACAGACATATTTCCTGATGAAGTATAATACTATTTTGAATATTCACTTGATTTTTAATAGTTATAGTAACACATCATTTAGCATTTGTAAAATAGCATTTACCAGCTTCTGATTGGCAAACAAGATTTTATTATAGATCTAATATTGAAGAAATATTATGTAATATTGAGCTTTAAAAAGATAAATTCTATAAGATTGATAGAGATAGATAGTATTATCCTAGTTTATAATATTTATGGTTGATTTATACCAAGTAAATTTATAGTTAGTATACAAAAACTGTAAAAATATGATAGTCATACCTATTAATAAACAATTTTATCTATAATGAAAATTTAATTGTATCTTATTAAATAAATTTGAAATAATCTGGATACTTTAATAAATTTATAAATTTAAAATAATCAGTAAATTTAAAATAATTTATAAATTTTAAAATAATCAGTAAAGTTAAATAATTTATAAATTAAAAACAATCGGTAAATTTATTAATATAAAACCAATCAGTAAATTCTTATTAAATAATAATTATTAATCGGGTATTAAATTGATTGATAACTAATTATTAATTAAAACTATTTATTACTATTAAATATATAATTTACAATTTTTTAAAATAAGTATAAAATCAGGTTGAAATCCGATTTATATAATTTTACCTAATAATTATCAATTATGTATTAACTAATTCATATCTGATTATAGTATCTACTGATTTCTATCTATTGATTGCTAATCAAAAAAAGTAACTAATTAGAAAGATATCTGATTGATTAATGTTCAACTTGTACTAACCCTTGATACTATTCATAAAGACCTAATTCGATATAATACTATTTTTTTTTGATAATCTCATATACTTTTAAACAGAATCACATTAATTGTATTCATCAGAAACTTCAGTTAAGTAGTAAATGAGATAACATTTTGCAAATCAAATTGAAGAGAATGATCTTTTAGCAGCTCTTTTTAAAAATGGATTATTAATTCTTATAGCTTTTCAATAATTAATGATTGCCAGAAAATAAACAAATGTTTGTTTATATTTTATCTGATTAAGTAAATTTTGCTGTTCTTTAATCTAAGCCAAATAATTTTCAATTGAGAATTAGCATGACTTTTTATATATGGTTACATAAACTCCATTACTATTGCTTAACGATATATATTACAAATAGAATCCCAAAACTTATAATAATTTATATATTTCTTAAAATAAGCTAATTAATTTTTTGTTCAATAACTTTGATATATTGCAAATTATTTCAAATCAATTTTTCAATTTATCTCAATATATAGAAGGTAATCAATAGAAAAGTGAAAATCTAAATTTTGGTCAAAATTTATATTATTAGACCACTTGGTTAATCTCAGTCATATGCACAAATTTAGCTTAATAATAAAAATTAACAAAAATTTTGGATTTCCTCCTTTTTTACTGACTACCTTCCATATATCTGAAGTATATTCATTTTCTCATATAATTATCCTAGTATAAGAATTAACTAAAAAACCTTTTTTTTTAATTTGATAGTATGATGATATAAAATACCATTACAAGTTAACAAGTTACTGCTATTCATTTACAAATCTTATCTTGAATACCAGAAATTATTTCTATATAAAAAAGAACTTTTTCAATGTTAAAGATTGAATTAGGATTAATATTGATTGAAATAGAAATGTATGTTTTAGAAATATTAATTCTCTGATTAATAGTTTGTTGTTGAGTAATACTTATTTTAGAAATAGATATAATATTTGATTTATTATTTTATTAAAAAACTTAAAAATAGTTGACGATTTTGTTAACTAATGGTTATATTTGAATTTTAGCTAATGTTAGTAATTGTGTTTTATATACTAAACATATCTGTTTTAATTTTTAACCTTTTATTGATAATAATTAGAACATTTTTTCATACAGGTAATTTTAGTTGTTATAATTACTATAAGAAAATCAATAGTATTAGTAGAAACTAATTTTTTTTAGATAATAGATTAAGAATTTCAAAAAGTTAAATATATCAATAACTTCTTGCATTTGAGTGCTAATATCAAAAAATTCTTCATACTGCAATCTATTTAAAAAAAATATAACCAAGGTGAATTAGTATATTAAATTCTATTTTATAATATTATATTAAAAGCAATAAAACTGATAATAAGATGAAAGATTTACTAAAAAAATAAGACTTTGAGTATTTTTTATTGAAATTTTAATAAAAAATGTTTAGAGTCCTATTTTCCTAGTAAACCTTTTATATGAAAAATCATTATATTGAATTTTTGATCAAGATAATTTTTTTGACCTTTACTTACTATCAAATGCAAAAAATAAAAGACCTTCAAACAATTGTTCTTTGTATTCTAATAATTCTTTCAACCAGTCTTATAATCAAATATAGCTACTTGAATTTGTAATATGATTATTAATACTAATAATTATTTTTGATTATACAGTAAAGTGTTTAATAGTTGAGATAATAAGATGAATTTCTAATATATATTTTTCATATTGTGTCTTATATATTATATTAACTGTAAACGTTATTTTAAAAGAAATTTTCTAACTTAAAGTATTAGTATCTTGATTATTTTAAATTATTATTTTAACAAATTTAACAATAACTTGATTATGATTATTAAATCATTTATAAGAAGTATATACTATAAAATAGTAATAGGTTTTAAACACGTTTTTTAATTTTGGATAAGGTTTTAAACATATAAATTTGTGTTCAAAACCTATTCAAAACTATCTAAAATTGTCTAATTTTCTAATACTATTATAAAATTTTCTATCAAAACCTATCTTTATTTCTGATCAATAATTCTATATTATTGAAAATATCTCCTATTTATACTTACTATTTCAGTAATTATATTAATACAGTTTTGTTGATTGTTAAATCATAAATCTTATTGCTCAATAAAAATATTATTCTTTTTATATTATTCTTCATATAAATTTTAAAATTCAATCACATAATTGTAAACTTTTTATAATTTTGCTTTAATTCTTCTATTTCATTTTTTTTTGATATTCTATATTATGCTACATTTGTATAATTTGATTATTAAAATCCATTATTAATTGCAAATTCCGTTGATTTTTTAATTGATTGAATTTTAAAAAACTTTTGATTTTTCAAGTTTAAACATTAGATCAGAATAATAACAATAAATGCTATTATTTTCTTTGAATGAAATAACTTCTTTGATCTAGGCTTTACTCTCTTTTAAAACTAATCCTTTTTTATAATATATTAGATACTATAAATGCTGTTTCTGTTTGTTCAATGAAATTTACTTTTAATCATTCTGCAAGGAATTGATAAAATTGCTTTTTAGCGATAATTTAATTATAATATCTTTTACAAATTAAATAAGATTCTAAAAAAAAAATGAAGGTTAATAAATTTCAGAAAGATAATCATGATAAAATGCAAATTACTTAGCTATCTAGCATACTACCAGACTTATGATTCTTTAATTTCACAGATTTTTAATTAATTAAAATACAATGCAAATTTCTTATTTTCAGGTCTTATTTACTTTTTTAAAAAGAATTGATCCCAAATAATTAAAAATAATTATGACTCTTTTACTATCTATCCATATAATATCTAAGTCACAATAAAATTTGAAAAAAAGAATAAATAAATATCAGATCACTTGTGTATAATAACCAATTAAATTTCAAGATTTTTATGTAAATCATTCTAAACCTTATTTCCTTATTTAGTAAATTTCCTGACTGTATTATTTCTTTGATAATAAAGTAATTGAAGAAATTTTGATGTTTACTAACCATTTTATTTGTTGTATTGATATATTAGGTTCTCCATTTAAAATATTCTTAAATTGGATATAATTATCATCTACCATTTTCTGTATAAAATTTTAAAATTAATATCTAAATAAAAAGAATAAAATTATTAAAAGAAACTTACTTGAAAATTTATCAGACATTTTAATGCATAAGTTATATCATCAAAATTATAAATATTTTCTGGTAAACTGAAACTGAATATTTTATAAAAAAGATATAATTCAGGAGCAGAAATATTCATAGCATAAATATCCACATCAAGTTCTAAATTTTTTATTTATTATTAGTTTTTTCCTTTGAGTTGAATATAAAAAATGCTTATAATAATTATACTTACTTGAAGTAATAACACCATAAACATAAATATCCTTAATATTATTGCCTTTACCATAACTCTCTAAGCATTTATAAATTTTACTTAGTTGATAATGCATCATTACACATATCTTGGTAGTATCTCTGATTTTTTTTTTTTTGTCCTCCACTGAAGTTCTTTTTTGATGTTCAACTACTACCATTTCTATTTTTCGTTTTTTATACACCACTTTGATATCAGGGACCAATGAATTTCTTGATCTTTGGTTTTTACTACAAAGAAGATGTCTATGCTCCTTATTTGCCTGGTATGAACTACAATGAAATACAGTAAATAAGCTAACAGCAAATGATTTTAAAATATCTAAAATACAAAACCATTACTAAACTCATTGAATCAGATTGAATACTCGTGATTATGAAATAAATCCATAAAAATGTTTACAAATATAATTGACGTAATGTGGTACTCCGAGAAAGGCTTTTGAAAGTATTCTACATTTAAAATAAAATAACTAGTACTAAAAAAAAGTCATTATCATTAATAATTTTAAAATATAAAAGATTTTTGACAGTTGAAATAAGCTAGCCTTACAGGAGTTTAACAGTTGAATATATAAAATTTTCAACAGTTAGAATTCTATCCAAAATTAGGTTGCTCATTCCATTGAAGTCTGAAACAAACTTTTGCGCTTTTTTAATGCTTGAAATATCTTTGATTTCTTTTAACATTTTAAAAATATTATCCCGTTGTGTTGTAAGGTCGAAAAATCTGCTTGAACGTTTTGTGTATAGGGATGCAATCGTTTTAAATGATGTAGTCTCATTTTTTTTATCATCATCCAAATTTACAATAGCCATCCTAATTACATCACTATATAATAATTATAACATTTAATAGAGACAGTTCATCGATTATAAAAAAAGATATATTCCAAATAAAAAAATATTACCGAACATCGGAATTATAATAAAGATGTATAAGTTCATTATGTATCGTATTTAGTCTCTGTTTTTAAATATAAGTGAAATCAGTTTTCTATCATTTATATATAAAAAACAATAAATAAGTAAATATATACTTACTTCATCATGATCAAGTCCAAAAATTGGTTCCTTGTCTAAAGCCTCATTAAAATTTATGTTCCAATTGGACTCTTTTAATTCCACAAGATGTGGTTCTATCAAAATTCATAAATCAAACTTGTCAATAAACTCGCCTGAGGAATCCATTAATTTCCACTTTTATAATTTCTTATACCTTGGCGTCCATTTTCAATGTCCTTGTAAGTTTCTTGCACTTCCACATCCTCATGCAACAACTGGTAAAATTCAAGAATATAAAATATGATGAATACGAGTTTATCTGAATGCTTTATTTACTGATGCATTTTTACCTTCTTGGATGAATGCATCTCATCATCATCGACGTGAGGATATGCTCGTTTACACCCTATAGCGACGGCGGAAAAGGTCTCTTCCAAGTTTGGCAGAACACCTTGATTCAAAGTTTTGATTAAATTACCAGAGGCAGCAGCTTCTTCATTGCGTATGTCATTAATTTCTATTCTAGTCATATGATGTTCCTGATAAAACTGTCAGTAAAATTATTGTGATGCATTTTTTCTAAGTTTGCTTCAAAACTTACCTTTAATACTTGTAATGTATTTGCTGATGTAACATTTCGACACACAGATGTATTGAATTCCATTCTTTCGTTTTTTAATTTAATTTCATTAATAAAACGTTTCACATCAACCGAAGTGAATAATTTATCAAAGCTAGAAATAACTTTATTTGCCTTGTTTTTGGCATTCTGGTGAACGTGAAGGCTTTTACTTTCGCTTAAACTCGATAACACTAAATACAGATCTGCTTTGAGAATCTCAAATGTAGTCATAGATAATTCGAATTTTGATGCTGTATATTCCAAGATTCCTATTATCGACCAATCCCTGCATAGTGTACTTTCAAGATGCTCATTCACGGTTGACTCGAACATTCTAGTGAAAAGTATAATGAGTTACAGAAATACGCAAGCGCTATAAATATAACAAATGACAAAAAAGGCATTGCACAGTCAACGGTATACTGGGAAAACAGCATACAGGGGGAGGACTTGAACACGCATGCTCAAGGACATTCACAACAGACTGCTTCCAAACATCTGACACAGGACGTAATAGCCATATGCCAGTAGGCATACGCTACACAACCTGGATACTGGCATACAGGGGGAGGCTTTGAACACGCATGCCCAAGGACATTCACAACAGGCTAGCACCAAACATCTAACGCAGGACGTAATGGCCATACTCTAGTAGGGATGTGCGTTGACTATAGAACAATACACTTTGCTTTTGAAAACATATTAACAAATTTGACACACCTTATAAATTTTTTTTGAAGTTGTTAACAATAAAAATTAGTATGAGTCAATCGACTTAAATCTAAAATCCGTCGCGTGGTCAACGAATAAAAATTTGTATTACTTAAATCCATTTTACAAGCCCCTGCTATCATAGATAAAGACACAACTACCCAAGAAAAATAGCACTGTACCACAGATAAGCCACAATTTGATCAAATATTATGAATCAAGGTTTTTTATAAATTATGCAAATCAACTTTCCGAACACCTTAAAAAGTTGTTAATTATTCGAATCATAATGTAGTCGAAGACATATAAATTTTTTTTTTGAAAGTTTATAGTAGCAAATATTACTAATTTTATTAATTAAAAATGTTTAAAAGAGAATTATGTGAAGTTGGCATATTAAAATAATCATAAATTAAAATGGTATCCATGCATGTCACTGTCTACATTTATAATAACTTTTCTTAGACATAATATATTCTTGGAATATATTATTAAAAATCCATCTTTACATAAAGAGTTAATATCAGAACATTTGCCAAACCAAGATTTATTACTAAAAATTAAATAAATAAATAAAATAATTAATAAAATATATTCTTTCAATCAAAACAAAAAATGCATATTCTTACCTAAACTATCATTAGATAATATTCCTTCCTATCAATCCCGGTGTCACCTCCTTTGAGTTTCACCAATGTTATTTGCTATTATTTCAGTAATAAATTTATTAGTAGCATTTTCATTAATTCTATTTGTATTATCATTTTCATTTGTAATTTAACATGAATTATTAGAATTAGATTGCAAATTATATGAAAATGTATCATGATATTTCCTAATTTCTAAAATAGTTGTAACATTTAAAACATCATTTATAAAAAATTGTTAAAATAGCTAAAAGATAACAAAAGTATGTTGTGAATTCCTAATGATATTTTATATTGAAAATCTCTCCAGCTGAAGGTAATTGCATCACTTAAACCTTCTCAATTTTATTTAAATTTTCTTCTTCATGCAATTGATCATTTTATAGATCTGATAATATGCGTGATATTTCTAAAGCTGCATTACCAACTATAAGTGAATAATAGTCTAAACTTATTTCATTATAAAATATAGATAATTAATTATTAATTATATTATTAATTATAATTAATATGTTAAAAAAATGATTTATATTGACTATCTAAATCATTTTCTTAATCATCTTCAATATTTAAAAAGTAAAATTATTATTATTCATATTGTCACCGGGAATAATCTTCTCTGATTACTTCACGTAATATATCTAAGTTCCTTTACTGTGGTGAGTAACTTCCTTATCGTTGGACTTTACAACCTTAGGGAATCTTACGTCCTACAGGTATCTGAAGTGCCTAGGAATTACTTCACTTGATTTATGAACTTAAGGGTTTAGGAACTTAGGAAATTTAGAGAATTTATATATTCTAAGTGACGAACTCAGTTGCAAGTTAGTG